GAAAGGTGGCGGGAAAATTCCACTGTGCCGAGGCACTAAAATCATTGGGTTATGACATGCCCCCTTGCCGACGGCACAGCTGGAATGTTAAACACATGTACGTGTTATAAGTGATCTTCGTCTGAGGATTCATCGGCTTTACAAAGCTTAAATAATTAACAAATACGTATGAACAAACAATTCTATAGACCGGTCTTTAACAAACTACAAAATACAATAACTTAAACATATAACAAAAATTATTGGTCATCGTCTGACTGGAGAACATCTGTTTGGGACTCCCCTTTCTTATTAGTTAATGAGATGTGGTTCATAATGAAGTAGTCGCCACGAAGCGTCCGTCTGTTTCCACATCAGACAATGCCAACTAAAATCCTTACAAACATTAGAAAGAGAGTTCCACCCACTGCACTACCGATAATGGTACCCCAATTGCCTTCCTGTATTGCTGTTAAGGTTACTGTTGACGCTAAACCTGTAATGCTATTAGTGGGTGATCGTGTGGTAGTGGTGGTAGAAAGATCTAATATGTAAATAGTTTTTTGATCGCTTCTTTGACCAAGGGAATTTGTCACCCTACTGTCTCTAGTGGGTTATGGAATAGAGAAAATCCCACACAATTTACTGATTCGTTTTGATGCACTGGCTGGGGGAGTAGTTAGCTGATTGCACGATTTCACAATGATTACACACTTAATTTATACAACACAATTTTATTTTAAAACTCTTTGCTACGTATATAACACTGCTTAGCTTTAAGAAACACCACAAACATTAAAAACACAATAATTACATATATCAGAAACAATGCTCCAAATGCACTTCCTTCCCAAACAATGCTATAAGAATTAGTATTACAAAAACAACTACAATTACAACTAAAAGTTAAATTTGAATCAATACTGTTATTTTTCATAATATACTTACAATCCTAGAATTCCGAGAAGCCAAATACCAAAATATAGTTTCATTCCTCAGTAGTACGATTTAATGGGTTGGCCTCAGTAGTACGGTTCAATAGGCTGGCCTCAGCAATACGATTCAATGAGCTGGGCTCACCAGTGATAGGACTACGTCCCCTTCCTTCAGTCCCTTTCGGGCGCTCCGCGGCTTCAGCGTGAACTAAGAGATTCGTGTTCACGGAGAGGCTTGATTAGGCGATCAATCTAATCAGACCTTATACTTGCGATTCTTCCTTCGTT